TTGAGTATGTGCTGCTTTTTGCCAGAGTGAAGTTTTGAATGTGTCCCTTTCCTCTTAGGATCATAGAAAATGAGGGTTAGAAGGGACCTCAGGATGTCATCTGGTCCACCCTCCTGCTCCAAGTGGGATCATCCACAACTAGATTATCCCAGCCATAGCTTTGTCTAGCTGTGTCTTGAAAACCTCCAAGGATGGAAACTCCATCACCTCTCTGGATAACCTGTTCCTGTGTTTTACTACCTGCCTAGTGAGAAAATTCTTCCTAATATCTAACCTAAACTTTCCTTGCTGCAGCTTGAGCCCATTGCTCCTTGTTCTGTCATCTGCCACCACTGAGAACAGCCCAGCTCCATCCTGTTTTGAACCCCCCCTTCAGGTAGTTGAAGGCTGCTGTTAAATCCCCGCCCTCTTCTGTTGTCCCATTTCATTATTACAGGAAGATGAGATATGGCCTGTCCCACCTTACTCGGGGATTCATTTGATGATATTGAGTATTAAGAGATGGTAACCTGAGCCAGAATAAATGGATATTTTCTTTAAAGCAGGCACTTTATTAACACTTCAGAACCTGTAGGATGTGAAGGGAGACTTTTTATCCCATACAGCTGGCATACCTAGCAAGCGCGACAAGCATGCCTTGCTGTTTTTTCTATAAGTTCATTTACTAGCTCACCTTCTGAAACAGGCTGGAGCAAGGATGTAAGTATGGTTGATCAGCTGCCATGAGAGATGACGTTATTCCTATCTGGTCAAATTTAGCTGAATACGGCTGAAAGCTCTACCAAGAAGATCTGAAATCTTGGAGCCTGACCCCAGCTATAAGACTTGATCATAAATTCCTAAAATGAGCTCTTCTCTTTTGGCAAATGTTTAAGAAAACCAAATGTAATTACCAAGCAATTAACACTTACTGGGTTCATCTACACATTTATTAATGTGCTTTTGCTACTGCACATTAACTTAGTACCTCACATTAGAGGTACTAAATTTTAATGTGCGTTAGGCTGCCCAAATGCTCAGTAACAAAAGCATTTTAGTGATACTTAATGCACAGTAGCCTATTTTTAGTGCACATTAGTGTATTAGTGCAGTTTTTGATGTGATGCTTTAATGCACAGCAAAATAGGCTACTGTGCATTAAAGCGCACTTGTAGATGCACCCATTGATTCCTAATAGAAAACTCAATCCTGTAACCTAAAAGAGTTTTTTTTTGGGGGGAGGGGGGTGGGAAGATATCTCAGGGAGGGAGCTGGCCAGTGCCCTCTTAATCTGCCTCCCTTGCATTGTAACTTACTTCAAGAGGTGCAGTCTTGTCCCATGAATAACAAGCAGCTGGATTTTAACTACAGGAGAGAAGGAGAAAATGGAATGGGCTGCTGAACACACTCAGACAGAACAAGGGAAGTGTTCCTGCATGTTGCTACTAGATCTAAGCACTTCAGGAGGACTGTGAATAAATTACCCAGGCTGTGAAAACTTTGAACTCTCCCTGCTAGAGAAGTATTGAGGGAATACTCTACCAACTATGAAATCACCACTGGAAACTCGTGGGAGGGCAGGAAACCTGAGGTGAAGCTGGATTACTGGTGGTGGGATGTTCTGACATCATCGAATCTTGCCTTGGTTATGAATCAGCCAGAAGTGAAGCTGTAGTTTCCCATAGGCGTAGGTAGAGTTAGAAAGCCCAACCCTGTTAGAGAACTAGCTACATTCCAGCAGCTGGGTGCAGCTGAGATGGGGCCCTCCCTTTTCTCCCAGCATTTTGGACTTGATCTGGAGAAAGTACAGACCTCCTCTGAAATTAGGGCTGAGGGGACTCTCCTTGTGAGGTCTGTCCTGCACTGTGGGATTGGGATGGGGGTAGGGCTTGGTGTGGAGTCTCTAGTTTTATTTTTCTTGGGACTGCAGCCTGCCATTAAGCTTTGGTACCTGACTATGACACTTGTTTTGGTTTGGCTCCCCCCACCTAACTACAGCAGGAATTCAAAACTAGAAACTAAGTATTCTGGGATGGGGAAGAATAAATGGATGACTTGGCTAGGGGTTGGAACTGTCTGTGACCTAGAGTAGTAGGGACCAAAAACCTTTATTCTAGGATTGTTTGATTTCAGCAGTGAATACAAGGATGGGAGTAGACACTTATTTGGAGCTTCATTCTTGTCTGCTTTGTGGACAAATAAAGTGCTTCTTTCCAGGTTGTCATTCAGGAACCTCTTTGTTAACATCTGATTTGCTACACTTTACTTGCGTTTGGGGATGTAGGGAGTGAAGAAAGACTCTTGGATTGATTGCTCTGTGTGCTGGACTTAATCTTCCCACGGTGCTTTCCATCTGAGTGCCTGAGGTTTAAAAAAAACTCATTTAAGCCTTGACCATCCTGGAATAAGAAGTGGCTTAGTTTTCAGATGAGGAAACCTGAAGCAGAAATGAGATGACTTGCATAAGGCGTCATGCAAATCCATGCCAGAGGCAGGATGTGTACCTTGGAACTCTTTGCCAGGTACTTTTGGGCAGTACCCAAGCAGGAAGGGCAGTGGTTCTCAGCCTGTTTTAGATGGAGGGTGCCTCTTGGAAAGTGCCCCTTGTGAGTACTGCTCCTTCATCTCCCTTGCTGTCCTCCCTAGATTACTGCACCATATGCCTGGGCATCATGAGCCTATTGCATGATCTACTGATAGCTCTTGCTACCACTCTGGCTTGCTTTATTGGATTTTTAAAACTGCCATCCCCCTTGTTTTAAGAGGCTTCCACGTGAAATACTTGCCTTCTAGGGGCCATAGTTAAAAATTCTTGGGGCTTGAATAGCTTAGTAGGAACCTGCTATTCGGAGACCTAGGCCAAGTAGCCAGAAACTGATCCAAAATGTATTGAGTGAGGATGCCAGTGAGATCCAGAGCAGCAGCTTACTGTGAAGTCCTGTGTCCAGTTAATGGTGTCAGGATTCTGAGCATGTAGCTGTCTTCCAGACTGTGCACAGCTGGTCAGCTTGGATATCCACCTCTGTATGTGGTAGTGTCTAAATCTGAAACCCCTCCAACATGTAACTACTATAATGGAGCATGTCATCTTTTTCTCTCTCACTCCTCTAACTTTAAAGCTGCCTGAGGGGTAGAGACAGCCTGAATAGAAATCCTGTGGTAGTAGAAACAAAGCACTCTATTACATTTTAGGCGGGGTCCTATAGGATCTACTCTGTTGCTGCTTGTAGTCTTTCCAAGCAGCAGCTAGTCAAAGCTGGCATCTTGGTGTTTGTTCTGGAGAGCAGTCCAGGCACTCTGACCTCTTTATCTCTTGAGCTGGGGAAACCAGTGCTATATGAGATTACATTTGGAAGGCTTGTTTTGCAGCTCTCAGTGCTGGAAACTTTCTAAAATGCTAACTTAAACTTGGCTGACAAAGACCTTAAATGGAACATTTAAGTCTTCTAAGCTTCCTACTTGCTCTGTATGTGTTTAAAGCTTCATCTTATTTTAATTTTCACTCCCCTAGCATCTGCTGTAAGGATCAGCTTTGAGCAAATAGTCTTATAATTGCCTTTGTTGGAAAGATATGAAAGGGATGCCTTCCCCCTTACTGCTGAGTTCAGCCTCAAAAGTGGCTGGGAGACTAATGTTTTCTCATTTCTAGGTTTCTATTGTCTCCAGATGTTACTTACTTTTATTGCTGCTTCCCCCATTACACAGAGGACTGAGTATGAGGCTTTCAGGGGTATTCTGCCAGAGTCTGAGGAGTTTTGGCAAACTTGCTGTTACTTGGACACCAGCTTTTTTTTTTCCCCCCCAGCTCACATATTTGCAGGCTCAGAACTCTTATCTGGAAGTTTAAAGCATCGAACTACTACAGTACAAGCAGTTCTGCTTCCCAGAACCTTTGTTTTCCCTTGTGGTACTTCATCCCCAGTGGAGATATGTTTTGTCAGGTGGGGGTGGTTGATTGGATAACTTAATTTAACTCTATTTTAATCCTCTTCCTTCCCCTTGTCTCTCACTTGCCAAGATAATGGAGATAAAAGAAAGCAAAGAGCAGTTACACTGGGATCTTGTAACTGTATCTAGCCTAAGGCAAATAACTCAAATCTTCCTTGGGGAATTAATGCAAAATAAAAAGCAAGACCTGTTAACAGGAGGGGAAGGGCCTGTTATCAGTCTTTTCTACTGTCTATCCTCTCTTTCCTGACTTGTCTTTCTAACGTGGTAGTGAGCTTCATTGAAGCACTAGCTAGAAAACAGGTATTGTACAGCTGTTCCTTTGCTGCAGGCTTGTGAGCAAGATCAGCACTACTATGATAATGATAGTAGTGATGATATCTGGCTTCATAGTAGCATATTGGTAACTGCTTGCATTTGTTCATGAACTCGGCACTTCCAGAGAGATGGGAGGGAGGCTGACTACACTGAATTCCCTAGCCACAGAACAAGTACATAGGCAGTTTCCATGCCTTTGTGTAGCAAGATAGCTAACTGCAGCTCTTGTGCCTCTGGCTTTAGGAGTGTGGTTCTCTTGAACCACTAGAGATGCCAGCTGTGGTGCTTTATGGATACCCATCTTGGGAACCAAGAACACAAACTGATTTTCATGTAACCCTCCCAGCAGCTGTTGTAAACTGCTTTTGCTCAGTATGTAGCCACTCATTTATCTTGAAGCTGGATGTGATGTTGACTGTTTGCTAAGTCAGAAGATGCTTAATATAACCTGACCTTCCTGTGTTCCCTGTTTTTTTTTTTTTTCTTTTTTTTTCTTTCAGTTTTAAGGTAACAAACTGTTCCCTGCCAGTAACACCTGCCTGTGGTTTCCTTTCAGGTGAACCATGATTCCTGTCACTGAACTGCGCTATTTTGCTGACACTCAGCCAGCATACCGCATCCTGAAGCCATGGTGGGATGTCTTCACAGACTATATTTCCATAGTCATGCTGATGATTGCAGTGTTTGGAGGGACGCTTCAGGTCACCCAGGACAAAATGATCTGCTTGCCCTGTAAATGGGTTACCAAAGACTCCTGCAATGACTCCTTCAGAGGTTGGACAGCTGCAGCCCCAGAATCCACTTATTATAATTCTAGTCTTGTCCAACCTGCAGACACAGGGCCCACAGGAATAAAATATGATCTGGACCGGCACCAGTATAACTACGTGGATGCGGTGTGTTACGAGAACCGCCTTCATTGGTTTGCCAAGTATTTTCCTTATCTGGTGCTGCTACACACTCTCATCTTCCTGGCCTGTAGCAACTTCTGGTTCAAGTTTCCACGAACGAGCTCTAAGCTGGAGCATTTTGTGTCTATTCTGCTGAAGTGCTTTGACTCTCCTTGGACAACAAGGGCTCTGTCTGAGACGGTGGTAGAAGAGAGTGATACCAAGCCAGCCTTTGGGAAGATGAATGGTTCCATGGACAAAAAATCTTCTACAGTCAGTGAGGATGTGGAAGCTACTGTCCCTATGCTGCAAAGAACAAAGTCTCGAATTGAGCAAGGAATTGTGGATCGGTCTGATACAGGCGTCTTGGACAAGAAGGAAGGGGAACAAGCCAAAGCACTGTTTGAGAAAGTGAAAAAGTTCCGCACGCACGTGGAAGAGGGAGACATTGTCTATCGCCTCTACATGAGACAAACTATCATCAAAGTGATCAAGTTCATACTGATCATCTGCTACACTGTCTATTATGTCAACAACATCACTTTTGATGTTGACTGCAAGGTGGACATTGAGAGCCTGACTGGGTACCGCATGTATCGCTGTGCTCATCCTCTTGCCACTCTCTTCAAAATCCTAGCCTCTTTCTATATCAGCCTGGTGATCTTCTATGGTCTGATTTGCATGTACACGCTCTGGTGGATGCTGAGACGATCCCTCAAGAAATACTCCTTCGAGTCCATCCGAGAGGAAAGCAGCTATAGTGACATCCCAGATGTAAAGAATGACTTTGCTTTCATGCTGCACCTAATCGACCAGTATGACCCACTTTACTCTAAGCGCTTTGCTGTCTTTCTGTCTGAGGTGAGTGAGAACAAATTGCGGCAGCTGAATCTCAACAATGAGTGGACCTTGGAGAAGCTGCGCCAGAGGATCACTAAGAATTCCCAGGACAAGTTAGAGCTGCATCTCTTCATGCTGAGTGGTATCCCTGATACTGTCTTTGACCTTATTGAGCTGGAGGTTCTGAAGCTGGAGCTCATCCCTGATGTTACTATCCCACCAAGCATCGCTCAGCTCACTAGCCTTAAGGAGCTGTGGCTCTACCACACAGCTGCCAAAATTGAGGCTCCGGCCCTTGCCTTCTTGAGAGAGAACTTGAAGTCCTTGCACATTAAGTTCACGGACATCAAGGAAATTCCTCTGTGGATTTATAGCCTCAAGACCTTGGAAGAGCTCCACCTGACGGGCAACCTGAGTGCAGAGAACAATCGGTACATTGTGATAGATGGCCTGAGGGAGTTAAAGCGACTTAAGGTGCTGAGGCTGAAGAGCAACCTCACCAAGTTGCCACAGGTGGTGACAGATGTTGGTGTGCACCTCCAGAAACTTTCCATCAACAATGAGGGCACCAAGCTCATTGTCCTCAACAGCCTTAAGAAGATGGTCAATCTGACAGAGCTGGAACTGATCCGCTGTGACCTGGAACGTATTCCCCACTCCATCTTCAGTCTCCACAATCTCCAGGAGATTGACCTGAAAGATAATAACCTTAAGACTATTGAGGAGATCATCAGCTTCCAGCATCTGCACCGTCTCACTTGCCTTAAACTGTGGTATAACCACATTGCCTACATCCCTGTGCAAATTGGCAACCTCACCAACCTGGAGCGCCTTTACCTGAATCGCAACAAAATAGAGAAGATCCCCAACCAGCTCTTTTATTGCCGAAAACTGCGATACTTAGATCTCAGCCACAATAACTTAACTTCGATCCCAGCAGACATTGGGATACTGCAGAATCTGCAGAACCTAGCAGTGACAGCCAACAGGGTAAGCAAGGAGGGAGTAGGAAGGTTTTTATGTGGGTAAAAGTGCATTTTGGACTTCTTGCTGTCTTCTATGAAATGTATTAGAAACACTGGGCTGTGATAGTAGGATGGGAAATACAGTAGTGTAAGAGTGATGTTGTAGCTGTGATGGTCCAGAAATTATGCAAGAGGATTTCTTGGGTTGATATTTTTTTTTTAAAGTAGATCAACCATGTAGTTGGGGTAAAGTTAGACAAGCTTTTGAATCTTCATTGGGTCTCTGATCGCACAAATGCTGTGCCTGGCTCCTTTGATCTGAGACCCAGCAAAGAATGCCTGCATTTGAAAGCTTGTCTAATTTTATTGGATCACGTATGTAGTTGGGGTAAGAGATCACCCTAAGAAATCCTTACCTCTCTAGAAAATACGCTGGCGTTATCATTTTTAGTTCTGTCGTTTTGATCTTTTGTCTGTACAGTTTTTTCCTAAGTGAAAAACTGCACAGTTCCAACTTGGAGGCATTTTTTCCTGTTTGGTAGTTGGCAAACTGCTGTTCAGGCTGTTGTTTAGCTTTTCCTCCCTGGTATAACTGAAATGCCTTTTTAAAAGGCTGTTTCTTGGCTAACACACGAATCTCTCTCTCTTTCTTGTGGCTTCTTTGCAGTGCATGTTTGTAGACCCTGCATTGACACTTGCATTAGAGAATGGAAAAATTGCACATTCAGGAACACAGCACTATGTACTCTTAAGCCCTTTGGCATGTGTTAATACCAACTGAGGTCTTAGCCTTGATGCCTATGTACAGATGAATGCTGTAGTAGTGTTTGTGTAGTGCTGTACATCTCTATGGTGCTCTTAACCATGACTAGACTTATTTTGTGTAGTTCATAATCAGGCCCCAAACTCTTCCTATGTGAAAAGTTGATGAGATTCTTGGTTTAATGAAAAGCAGCTTTTTGACGGGGGCCTGGAAAGTGAAACTTTTGAATGTAGGTGGCAGCATAAAAGAAATGGAAAAGCTGAGTGGAATAGCAAAGCAGAGAGTGCTTGGACATGGAGGGGGCAGAAGAGGACTGGAAGAAATAATTGACTGTTCTCTGCCCCTCAAGTATAGGCAGAGGTGGAGTTGTGCAGAGTTTTGAAGGAGATAAAGTATTTTAGAGACCTGGTTAACTTTTTTGTTTACTTCTCAAAGGCTAATTCCCCCAGAGTCCCTTAGAAATGTACATGCTTGGTCATTTCTCATATTAGTTAATCAGTAGGCAGGTAGCAGTAGTTTGGAAATGGGTATCTGTGCAAACTATAGTGTAAAAATGGTTAAAGGTCTTTATCTACCCTGCCTCCTGAAAGAAGGCTGTCAGCTAGATGTGCTGCAAATTGCAACCCCAGTAGATACAGGTATATGGGGTTTTTTTTGGTTTTTTTTCTTCATTTATTCACCCACAACCTTGTCTAGAACTACATATTGATTTAATAGTCTGCTGGTTTTGAATGAGCTCTTTTGCTGCATTATAAAAGAGTGCTTATTCAGCATGGCTTTTTCTGTAACTGTAACTTTTAAAATTCATTGGTGTCTAGGCAAGAATCTAGAGAAAGCTAAACTATCTTGGTTAGTTCACTGGCCCTATTCTGTGTAGTGACCTCACTCAGGCCTTTAACTTGGCTCCAACCACTTTCTCTACAAGTGCATGTACGGTAGTGAACTCATTTAGCACCTGGAGCTGGGGGGTGTGGTGATAGTATGCCAACTACTGTGGGGTGGGGGTGTGGAGAAGGGGAATCTTATCTGCCTAGGGTGCTGCTGCTACTGTAGCAGTGTTAGCTCTGATGGCAGTAGCCCTGTAAACTGGGCTCCCTGGGAGCTGAACCTGGTTGCCCCATTTTCACCCCCCGCCCTTCCCCATACATGCATATAGTGTGCAGGGCTTTGCCTGCTCCGATAAACTCTTTGGGAGGAGGAGAAAGCACCACTTTGTCAGCCGCGCTTGTCCTTTGCCCCCGAGGTGCACTGGTTGGCGTGGCACTGCACTGTGTGGCTCCTATGGCTGGGCAGGAGCAGGGCTGTCTCTGCTGTGGCAAAGACCCCTGGTGTGGAGGATTCTGGCGCCCCCTCATAATTGGCTCCCGCAGCTGGTTCCCTGCACTAGTTACAATACCACCAGTGGGAATGTGCTAAAGTATCTTTACACGACATTTCTGGCTCTGACTGAATGTTACTGCAATTTTCTTTTTAATCCCAAGTGAAAGCATCCTGATCCCACAGGGCAAGTCATCTCATTCCTAATGAGCTGCTGTTTGCTTATGCTGCTTAGGAGCAAGAAAAATTGCAAGAGGTGACCTGATTGTGCCTGGTACTGAAGAGTGACTTTTTTAGCAATAACTTGTCCTTGTGGATTGCCCTGCAGTTCTGGTTCCTTGGTTATGTAAAATGCTGCGACTTTTAACATAAAGGGAGTTTTCTCTGGCCCGTTTATACTTGAAGATCCATTGATGCCTCACACTAAAAAAAACTCTAGTTTAGAATTGTGCTCGTGTTACAGTTCCCAATCTTCCCAGCCACAACACTCTTGGGAGGCTTTGTTGCTAGACACCTGGAAAACAGTTTTTGTTTTGTTTTCCAAGTTTATCTACTCGTGTTCATTCCCACTTGAAGTCGCAAAACATTCTGATAACCTGGTTGTGCAAGGAACAGCCAGCTTTGTTGAGGGATTGTGAGTTTAGGTGGGAATATGTGACAAGATCCTGTTTCTTCTGAGGATCTCTTCTTATTTTTATTTTTTATGATGCCCCTGCTGCCTTTCCAATGACAATGGTACCAAAAAAACCTCTTTCATACTACTTGGCCTTTCTTGAGGGGGGGGAACTCCAGGCAAAAATGCTTAACACTGAATTGTAGCAGAAACTATAAAGAGATTTTTACAATGCTAACTAGCATTAAATTGTTTTTATAACCTCCTGGCTCCTAAAAGTGTTGTCACATAATAGCAGGACACTGAAGCTGAACAAGCAACATGCAGCCCTGCTTCCTAATAATCAGAAGAAAACTGGGATAAACAATGTTCTTTAAGGGGAAGGATGTCTGTTAAGCCACTCAGATGAGTTTAAGCACTAGCTAATTCCCCAGCATTGGGGCATGTATGAGCCTGTGACATTTCAGCATTAGGTTAAGAGCCAAATTCCTTTCCCTAAATAAGGTGGAGGCTTCATGTAGCAAGAACTAATGACTCTCTTGGACGCTGCATTAAGCAGAGGAGGCTTTCACGTGTCCCCTTGGTATAGAACTGTTCTGGTCATCATAGTATTGATTATTTTGGCAGTTCATCAGCTCATATCACAGGGTTAATTCTGAGATGTGCATCCTCTGCAGTCGGAGGGTGGGGCCTCGGAGATGAATAGGAACCAGGGGCAGCTCTGTTTTGCAGCAAAATATGGAACCACCCATCTTGCTCCTCAAAGACACTAATGCAACTGGAAGGCTAGAAGCAGCACTTCCCTCTGTCCACCACTGCCTTTCAGATAGAGATACAGTGAAGCAGCTAACTAGCCCTTGTTCCATGCAGACCTACAGCCAAGGCTGCAATTAAACTTTGGCTCTGGAAGACTGGTTAGTTACAGTAACCAGTGGCAGTGGGAAAGGGAAGTGCAGACTAAGCAGCGTTTCTTAGTGCTAGGAATTATACCTGGCAATCCTAATAGCAGTTTGTGGAGTTGGGCAGTCCCAGTCTGTCATTCTGGGAAGCAGGTTCTCTTGTAGCACAGTCCCTTTTTGATTAAGTTAATTTCTGTCCCTGGAAAAGTAACCTGATTTTTTTTTATTGGCTATGTAACCACTAGGGGCAAATTGGTGCTTGTACAGCCCACCGTACTCTCCAAAACAGCTTAAAGGAACTTTTAGTTGCTGTTGTCTGCTTTCCTTTGGGTTCTCCCTCAGTCAAAACTTGTATTCAGACAGTCTGTGTAACAGAGTCAATGACTGATCTTAATTCACTTTAAAACAGTATAGTCATTTTTAAATACAAATGATGGCCTTCTTGAGACTGACTGAATGAAGACGAGGGTCCTGACTAGATGCCTATGATTTATTAAACCAAATGCCACAAGCTTTAGATATACTGTATTACTGGAGTTAGTGAAAGAAACCTTGACTAATTATAATCCAGAAAGGTATAATACTTTAATGCACTTAGTGGTCTGATTTGGCTAATTGTCTTCCCTGCATGCCACTTGTCTTTGGATGCATGGGAGTGTGGGGCTGGTCAGCAGAGCTGGTATCCTGATAGAACCTAGGAGTAACAGCCAACAGGACAAACTAGGAGGGACTTATGTGGGTAAAGGTGCATTTTGGAGTTCATGGTCAGGGCATCGCACAGTGCAAACACACAAGAAAAGGGCAGTCTGTTCCAAAGAGCTTTGTTTCTAATAAGAAGAACCTATATGGACAAGAAACAGATATGAGGATGGTGGGACTATGCCTACCAGCAACTATAAGCCTCTCTCAGTATTTAGAGGGAAGCCACTAAACAATCAGCACCTAATGTTTTTTTTGGAGGGGACATCCATGAGAACAGGAGAGCAGAGTACAGAATTCCAGCATTCCTGAAAACCAGCACAGATTCTCTCCTCTCCCCTTGATCTGCCTTCCCCTAGCATGCCTTAGGTCAGCGTTTCTCAACCAGCGGGTTGTAACCCAAAAGTGGATTGCAAGAATAATGTGAAAGGGTCACAGATTTTAACAATGGATTCTTCTTTTAAAGGAAAAAAGGTGTGGGAAACCATGGCTTTTCCCTTGCAGGCTGGCAGAGCTCCTCCTGCCCCACGTGTTCCCCCCGCCCCCAGTTTCCTAGTGAGTTGAGAATGAGGGACGCTAGGTTGGACTGGCCATCAATGTTTATAAATGGGTCCTGGTACAAAAAAGGTTGAAAACCACTGCCTTTGGTGAAAGGCTGGATTGTTCAATGCATCATGTATTGTACTGAATTCCCATCTTACGCTTATTTTAATGGCCCAATTTCCCCTTAAATGCTTCCAATCCATTTGTCTGAATTGGATAAACAAGAATGCTTTGTGGACTCCTGGCTTCTAAGAATACAATTTGCCATACCAAAGTGAGTCGTCATTCTGTCCAGTTTCTCTGTAGATCATATGATCCCTTCCTTGCTGTTTGGACCTTTGTATTGGGTAGAACAAAAATACATGGTCTTCAAAGTCAGTTTTAATGATCACTTTTTGTATGGCATGCATCTGCATTGTATCTACAGTAGCATGGGAGCTCCAATGTGGAGATTGCTTGAGTCCTGCTATATCCATACAGTACTGTTGGCGCATTTCTGCTGGCTGCAGACAAAATGGCAAGTGGGGTCCCTTGCATGTTACACTAACACTGACTAACATGAGTGTCTGGCGGGATTCCTCCCAGCTCGGGCACTGTGGCACCACTAGTAACTGCATTTCCTTATATTGGAGCAAAAAACAGATGGGCTCAAACTCCCCTTCCTGTACTTCAGGGTGAAACTAGGGTCAGCCCAACTGAGAAGAGCAGTGCCACTGCTCCACAATGTTACATTTTAGCATTGAATGGATTCTCAGGGCAGGGAAAGAGGAAAAGATAGGACAGAAGAAATTGTCTTTGCAAGGAGACCAGCTACTACTTGTCTTACTCGGAAGTGCAGAATAATGAGGTATTTTAATATCTGGCATGATTAGTAAGGTCAGTATTTGGGGTGCAGATCAGCATCAAGACACCCTGACCAAACTGGACTGGGGGAGATGCTCGTTGGTTCCAACCTGCAGCATTGTGTAGGGAGAACCTGATTTGGTTTTGGAATAGTGATTAAACACATGCAAAAACTATGTAAGTATGCACTCTGCCACATGTATTACAGTAGCTCCCAGAGGTTTCAGTGAGAATCAGGCCTCTTTGCATTGGTGTTATACGAACATGGAGAGGTGGTCTCGAGTGACGAGCTTACAATGCAAATGGCAGAACAAACGCTGGAGGATCTGGAATGGAGAGATGAGGCAACTGTGACTGCACAGACTAGCTGCGGGCTGGTCTCAAATCCTTCATTTTTGCTACTCTCAATTTTTCTGATTTTAGCCATCCTTTTAGCAGTTTATTGAAAGCAACAGTCTGTAGACTACCTGAAGGAGGGAGCTGAACGATTACCAGGTAGTGGCTGCGTGTATTTCAAGGATCATGTTCCATAGGGAAAGATCAGCATGGAAGAAAGCAGGAATGCCCTGGTGTCAGAAGTGGGAGTTTGGAAATGTGTGCCTTGCACCTCTGACTAGGTGTTTATGGTCTTGTGTTGTCTGTCTAATTTGTCACCCTACTTTCTAATTTCAGATTGAGAGTCTCCCACCTGAGCTCTTCCAGTGCAAGAAGCTGCGAACCTTGAACCTGGGGAACAATGTGTTGCAATCGCTGCCTTCTCGGGTGGGTGAGCTGACAAATTTGTCACAGATAGAGCTGCGAGGCAACCGTCTGGAGTGCCTGCCAGTGGAGCTGGGAGAGTGTCCTCTGCTGAAGCGCAGCGGGCTTGTGGTAGAGGAGGACCTGTTCAACACCCTACCCCTGGAGGTTAAGGAACGGCTGTGGAGGGCAGACAAAGAGCAAGCGTGAGCCTTGGAAAGGAAGGGAGGGGGAGACCTCTGACCAAGACGACAGGAAACAAAAGGCCATTCCATTCCAGCCCTTTTCCCAAAATCCCCCAGCCAATGTCATACTAGCCGTGGAGTCCCTGAATAACTATCATGACTCTGAATGAGGCCGCTTGCTGCCTCGGCTGCAGGATGGGGGAAGTTCGGGATCCTGGTGAGGACCAAGGCAGAGCGAGCAGCTCCTCTGTATTGGACAGTGGGGAAAAGAGGTGCTGCTGTTCTGCAGGACAGGAAGTGGGGGTAATGCTAGTGCTGCCATGGAGTTGCTCAGAACTGCTGGTGGAACCAACTTCCAAGTCTAAAGGGGAATTGCTTTTGAATGGAGGAGAGAAATGAACTGATTGTTGGGGTGCCCTCAATAGGGCACTGACACGCGTGTCAGAGACTGAGGACATCCAAGTGCTCTACAATCAAAGGATAATTGTCCAGAAAATCTCTTGAACCTCCAGTGCTACTTTGCTTTGACACTTGGTACAGTTCCACACTAACTTGCTGATTCAATCAGTTGGGGCTTTATTAGGGGGGAGGGAAGGGGGCAGCTGGCTTTTTTTTTTTTTTTTTTTTTAATTTAGATGCTGGCATTATTTTTGGTAACTTTACCTCAAAGGTCAACTTGGATTCAGGATTTTTTTATACATTATGTTCATCTTTCACCTAGTTTCCAACTGCTGATGTGAGGCTGCACTGCCTTTCCAGCTCCCAGGCCTTTGTCCTGACAAGTAGATCACACTATCTCCTCTCCTAGATGGTTTTGCAGGAGGTGCTGCTTGGCTCGGCAGTTCCAAAGTGTTATCCAGATTGGGTTGTGTATACTCTAAGTTCTGGTTATGTGGCATAAATGGGACAGCAAGGATGCAGTTCAGTTCAATGCATAAAAGGCTGGAAAATGCATCAAAAGCAGTACAGCTCTCTAACTGTTGGAAGCACTGAGTTACTTCAAGACTTTTTTGGCTTTTAAAGCTTTTTTTTGGTTTTGTTTTTGGTTTTTTTTTTTAATCTACTTTTTTAACTTTTTTTCTCTTTCTCCCCTCCCCCCCCCATTTTGCACTTTGTCTGGGTAGTAAACACATGTGTCCGCACACTCACTTGCTCACTTGGCCAGTGCTCAGTATCACTCAGCTGGGGTTGGTGGTGCCTGTAAGGGAAAGGAGTATTCAACTTTCCTTTCCACTTGCCCCACCCCTGCAGGACACTATTTTGAGATTCTGCCAGTGTCTTTCATGAGTGCTTAAATTACAGAGCTGCCTGCTTTTAATAATCTGTTCTTGATTTTAGCAGCTGTTTGGTTCCTGTTACACCTCTTAGCCTAAATGGCAAGAGGCTAATGCTGACTAAACCTAGTGTCTGAAAGGGTAGGCCTGTTCAATTTCTTTCCCTCCATCCCTTCCTCTTCCTCCCTATGTGAAGGAACAGTATAAGAATCCTCCATGAATCTGCCATCTTCCAGATCCCTGACTGGGAGAGAATCTTTTGAAACAAATTCAACCTGTATTACTGTTCAGCACAATTCCTTCTGCATTTGCAGAAGTAGACACAGCTTAGTAACAGCAACTGATAATCATGTCCTCAAACCAAGCTACTTGGATAGCAGCTTGCAGTTCTACAGTACACTCCAAAGCCACCCTCATCTTTAGTAGGGAGTGAAGGCCCATGGCCCCTACAGTCCTGGTGTTTGGTATTCTACCTAGGTCCAAATGGCTGGACTACTGAGATTGGGCACTGCATACTGGCATCACCTGCATATTAAAACAGTGGCTACAATGTCCATATAGGATTCCTGGCAAGCTACCAGTGAAGCCTGAATTGGGCAATGCATGGGTGTCTTCTGCCTCAGATGTTTTGAGCAATGAGGCACACTACAGCTTTTTTTTCTGTATCAGATGTAATCTACAACATATAAACACTAGAAATGCTGGAACCATGAAACAATCTGTTAACTAGGCTCTGGATTTGTTGATTAGATGTTTAAATAAAGCTATATTTAACCTAGGAACTCTGTTTATAGAAACACTTTTAAGAAAGGTATAAATTCTGCCTTCCTTACTTCGGTTTATCATGAAAAAATCAAACAACCCAAAAGAATAACATGGTCAGCTCTTGCTTGGACAGCTTCCTGGCTTCTACTTTATCCAGAGAAAAGGTGCTATAAAAAAAATCTCTCCTTCTGGATGATAGGCTTTCACTTCTAACATATTAGTTTATGCTGAAGTCATGCCAGGATTGGGGATGGTGCTGAAAGGATGAGGAAAGGCTTTACTTGCACCAAAATACACTGCTTCAGAGCAAACTGAGGCTTGGAAGTACTGGTGCTGGTATTTCTTGGGCAGGCACTTACCCTAGTCATGCTAATGTTTTGGATTAAGGAGGAGAGCAGAAAACCTGCTGGAATGAATTCAAGTCCGTTTGCTTAGACTGAGCTACCACAGACAGAATGACTCTGAATTACCTCCTTATGGACAAGGACCTCTTGGATGGGGAGAAAAGTTTCTTCCCTACTTTGTGCCAAATGAAGTGATGGAATGTAGTGTTTGCAAAGCTTTATTGAGCACTAAGTCAGTTCTGGGACTCTGATTAGGACCTCATCTCTGCTAAAGCAGTTGGGGAATATGGTTGTAGGACAACCTAAAAACTGTAGCATGGATAGGACTAAATTAGGCATTAGATCTTGCAGTTTTAAGCTCACATCAGAACAGGGGTGGGTTTCTTTGCTCCCCTTAACTGTTGTACCTGGACTCTCTAATTCTTTTGGCTGTATGTTCAGTGGCCTCTTAGTGTATAGAACAGCATTTCATATAACTAGGCCTGAGGTATCTGTAGAAGCAGTCAGTGTGACCTACAGAAAGTATGCTCCAAGATTGGTAGAAGTCTGCAAGTCTCCTGCTGTACAGTATAGTGCTTAATTCGTAAGACAATCATCCTGCTAGAAATGGAACAGGCTAGTTTAAAGCAAAAAAACAGACCCTTATTTACTACTGCTCAATGAGAAATAAATATTTGCCCTACATTGTATCCAGCGCTATCAAGCAACCGTAAGACAGGTCAGTATTGATTATGCATGGAAATACTAGCTTTTAGCTGCTACTCGAATATTCAAGCCCAGTATTTCAATCAGGGCTGCTACAGATAAAAGCTTAGATAGCTTTCCCATATGGCAAAATCAGAATGAATAGAGGTTTTGAAAACTTGTTTTACTGGAAACCAAGGCTATATTTAAATGCAAATCACCTTGCAAGAAAGCTCCATGTATTATGTACACTTAATGTGAATTAATGAATTGGCTGAGATGTAGTTTTTCTCTTCCCTCCAGCAGAAATGGTATCAGAAGATCAGGTCACACTAAGTGAGGTGAAGAAGGCTTCAGAAAATATTAAGCATAGGGTCAAAACTGAGAGGTGCTGAGCACTCGCAGCTGCTCAATCCTTCTCTAGAACTTGACCTGTATGTAGCAGGGTGAGTCGATCCTTCCCTGTTTTCTCTTTGCCACTCAGCCCTTGAGTGGTGCAGCTCCATTGCGCAGCTTGTTTCCTATTCGCAACCTACTCAGTCATAGCTTATCTTTTCCAGGGGCTGTCAAGTTGAAGCTAAGCTTGGCTGACACTGGCCAAGTACACTCTGAGGAAAACTGTTCAGGGTAAACGGACCATCATCAAGGGCCTCATCGGTGTCTTGTCTCCTCTTCCTGGCAGCGGCAGTAACAGCTAGGATGATCTGTGTTAGCTGCTTAAACCGTAGAACAACTTTAACTCAAGCCAAATTTCTCCTAACCATGCAACTGAGTCAACTGCGTGCCACGGTAGATCTCGGGCAGAGCCGTGCCACATTAGGAGCCAAAGTTCTAAGCTTTTTAGTGAACAGAATTCTAGTTTTCATGGTAGGTGGCCACAGTATTTAAATTGTAATTAATTCATTTGAACCAACTTCCGTAATGGAAATTGAATCTGTTAAGTGTGTTGAATCTCACTGTACTTTGAAACTATGCACTGGAATGTTGTTAGATTTTTTTTTTTTCCTTCTGCTAATTGCCAGTTGGTTTATAGTTAACTCAGCAGCTGGAACTAATTTACTATGCCAGTCTAAACTGTTACACAGCTGTTGCAAGTATTCATTATGTGTTTCTATTTTGTATTAATTTTGTCACTCCCCTAAAACATCCTACCTCAGTACCTTTTTCTCTTACCACCTGTCCTGTGCTCCATTTAACTCGCTTTCCATTCAACTTTAATTAAACCAAATTCTCAGTGTTTATCAGCATGGATAATATTATAAAGTAACTTTTTTGTTTCTGAACCACATTACAGTCCTCTGTTTTTGTTCAAACAGAAAAGAATAGGGAATCTGAAAACAGCAACATGTCCTACATGTTTTGCATTGGATGAGGTATGTGAAAAACAGGCTCACATTTTACTGGATTTGGTGAGATTTGAGGTATTTATAAAAGGGAAGAGATTTTGCATAATTTTGTTCATTTCCTTTCAGTGAATAAATCTTTCAAAACTTCCATTATGTCTTTGATTCCCAATCTCTTCTGCATCTCTGCAGAGTAAGGATGGGTTGTTCTTGTGCAGGAGATGGAGTGCTTGCTTTACAGATGCATTAAAGTGATTTTCTCTGCTGAAGAGTTTACTCTTTAGTGCAATTAACATGGCCTGTTAAGCCAGCTATTCTCCTGATTTATTTATTTTTATTTATTTAATTTTATTTTTTGTCACCCTACTTTCAGTCAATGAAAGAACTATCAAATGCTGGCATACTGTTCTCTTCAGCAAAGAACAACATGTACCTTTAAACTGTAGCATTACCTAGTTTGGGATGCTAGTGCTTGAAGAGTGGTTGAAGAGATGTTACTGATGCTCAGAATTATCATTTAAATTTCCATTTTGAAGCCTTAAAACATTTCTGAATTTGAATTTGAATTTGACATTTGAGGTATTTGGTTATGTAGAGGACTCTACAGACTTTGAATTTAGGATTTCTAGAAATGCACTTTTCCCTTTCACCCCTAATTTTTCAGAAAGTTGTATGAACTGGGTAGCTGTGCTAATCTCCCTTGTTTAGAGGAAACTTGTGGGGTTTGTGAAGAGAAGTCTCACAGGCCTGAGACTGGTAGTCATCTTGTACCACTGCCATGTATCTCTTTCCTCAAGACATTACTTGCGGTGTAAACACTATTCACTCCCTACTGCATTGACAGGATTGTGGCTTGGTGCGTGCGTTACTCGCACCTTAATGTAACATTTCAGAATCATGAAATTAAACTCTCAATGTTGGATTATGTTTGGGCAAGTGACCAACAGCACCTCAAATACTGAAGGCTGCTATGTTTTCTTTGAAAGACTTGTAAGACTGGACATCTTAATAGAATAAAAGTTTTAATTTCTACTTTCCTTTCTGTGTTTGTTTGCTTTAAGTACATTGGTTAACAAAGCATGTAATATTCCAATACCACTCCCCAGAAGAAAATACTGATGACTTCTGTAGTTGTGTGGGATTTTGGGTCACAAATCTTCCCTCAATGCATAGCCTTCATGGATTGGGAGGAAATGTGAAGTTTAACAAGTAGGTGTATTTGCACAGAGAAAAAGTTTCCAACATCATGTTAACTATCTGTCTAATGGTCATGGTGAGCTGGTTACACAGCCTTTTACATAACTTTGATTTTTTTTTTAAATCCTAAAAGCTGAAAGATTCAAAAATGTATTAATTGATTTTTTTTATTTTTTTTTATAGTGAATATAGAAATGTTAAGTGGCATTAAGAACACCAACTTGGACTTCTAGGATGGGATTTCTAAAACCACTCTGATCTTTCTTCCTCACTGACTTCAGTCCTTCTCCCTTTCATAGGAAAGGACAGTTAAAACAAGTACCAGTTGTCATTAAAATACTACCAACTAGTTAGTTGCTTAGTATGCATCATACCATATATCTGACTGCCTAAACGTTGTGCTTTGTCATCTTGCAGTATCCTCTGGCTTCAGAAGCCAGTATAGGCTACACTTCTTGCAAAATATACACATACCAAGAAGATAAATGAGAGCTAAACTAACAATTCAGCTATTATCTTTCAAAGACAGTTCAACTCACTCCACAGAGTTTCATGTGCATATAATAAACTTTACAGTATTTTGCCCTGTTTTCTTTGCACAATAGCTTTCCTTTCTTGACAAGGCTGTTATTACCCCCTACCAGCAGGCTGGCCCAGTTTTGTGATGGTGGATGTGCAGAGTTTGTGAAATTACGCTGGGATGAAAGGTAACACAGGAAAAAATCTATTTATTATTCATTGGTGGTATTGGGTTTTACCCAAATGCTTAGAAGCATAATTGAGTGGAGAAAGTGGGAAGACAAAAACTCCTGTCTTTGTTGTAAAACTCCCATTGGGCTTGCGTTCATCTGGCAGCCATTATCTCTTTATCCACAACTCTGTGACTGAATAAAAATGGGAAAGAACAAAACATCCCGCGTAAAGAACAACTTCTACCAGCAGAAATCCTGGAGGCCTGCAACGTAGTGATATGGAAAAGAGCCTTAGAGGAATCTGAAGCTGTCTATTGCAGAATAAAATGCATGCTGGTGGTGGGGGTCTTATTTTTTTTTATACAGCAAAATGCGTATCTCAATCCTGCTAGAAACTAAGCACAGACTGATTTTTACTTTGGATACAGCTTGAAGGAAACCCTATATCCCCACCTGGTGCTTACCTTACATACACTGAAGTGAAAGCTATATGTATGTTGGCTGTGCTAGGATTTTACAGTGAAAAAGCTATTTCAGTGGAGAAACATGCTACCTTTTGCAGAAGATATGGTCTGAGAGGAAGAGCTGCTACAACCTGTAAATATAATCAAACTAATACCTTTTTAAAAGCAGAAACTAAGTCCTTTGTAACATTTTACATTTTCTAGCCCTTGTTAACACCACCAAGCTCATTGTTTGGTACACCACTGTTGTCTTTCCCTGCTACTGCTTTAGGGGCACAGCTGACTCTTATGCTGCTAGTGCCCAGAGTTGATTTTTTTTGACTGTCCCTGGCTGAAATATTCACTTCCCCAGGACTCTTGGCAGCCCAAGCAGTCAGCACTGAACAGATTAAATGTGCTGAGGGGGGAGCCAGCTAATTGGCTTTCTGCAACCAGTATCAATGGGAATTATTAATGTAACATTGGTGAGGAAATGAGGATAATCTTTTGAGTCAAAAAAGCATTTGAAAAGTTCTTTCCTGACTTGGTGAAGGATCAGTTATGCTCTTGAAGTCAGCTGGCCTCTCCCATATCTTAAAAGGTTCTCATGCATATACATAGGGATGGTGAGAGCATTACTTAGTTAAAAGTATTTTACCAGCATCAGATGGAATTATGCTCATATGAGTGCCAAGAGACTTCATGGGTGGCAGTTGGGAGAGAAAATAGTGCAGGTTTCTTCAGCTGGATCTGTAGGCCCAGACAGTAGCTTGTTGGTAGAGTACTACCAGGGTAGCATAGTGGTTCTCAACCTTTTTGAATTTGAGGCACCCCTCAGAAAATGGTAGCTCTTTAGTTGTCACTCATTTTTGATTATGGAAAAATAATAGAGCAATTTATCTACTGAAAAGAACTTGGATCACAACAGGTCAGCGTGTTTTCAACTTTGAATTCATATTTGATCTCTCTAGTTGTGTCCAGATGAGCATGGGTGTTTGGTTCCTGGGGGACAAAAAGCAGCAGCCCACCTTATGCTGTTGCTACTTGTCCCTGGGGAATACCAGTGCCATGGGCCATGCCCTCTGGTGAATGGCATGTTACCCTGGGTAGGGTAGGCTCAGGCCAGCAACTATGCTGATCCCAGCTGCCTTACCTGGGGTCCTGGGGAAGCTGCAGCTGTGGCACTCCTGCAGCTTGGAGCTTGGCTGGCAGCTGGAGCATGGCTCTGGCAAATCAGGCACTGGTTTTGGGCAGTGTGCACTACTAAGATAAAACAGTTCCTTTAATCACAGTAAATTCTCACTTATGGCAACTATTGTCTGGGCTAGGTCTGCTTCTAGTAACTTTTAAACATGAGGCTCCCTGTGAAATTTATAGAACGCTGACTTTTTTTTTTCCCCCAAACGAATTCTCCCCCTACCGTTCCTGTCAGCTAAATGCAACTTTCCACTCTTGTATCTCCTAGAAAAATTAAAGCGACGCTGACAATTTGAGAGGTCAACAATCCATTGCTGCTTGAACATAATATCATAACCCTTCATTTCTTAGCTCTTATGGGTATTTTCTGGAATGTTTTCCTGCATAAGCCCAACCTTCCTTCCCCATTTTCTGTCCTTGATCATATGCTGCTGTGAAAGGCTTATATAGGTGAAAAGCTGCAGGTACCTTTGGTGAAACTCTTCCAGGACCCCAATGCCTTTGAATAAATAGCTTAAAATCTCCTCTTTTGATGCCCATTGCATGCTGAAGAGTACCCACAGGAGGTCAAGCATTTATTGTTTTTTGTTTGGCTTCTTTAGTTTAGATACTTAAGTTTCTCTGGTTCCTTGTTTCCAGTATGAATTGGAGTCCCTGTGTCCTGTTCACATGCCCACTTGGTACGAAAGGGCTGTTGTGCAGCTGAAACTAAGCCAGCCAAAGAGCAACAGAAATAAAAAAAAACACCAGAAATGCTTCATAAGAAATGTGCTGAAGCTTCAGGAACCTTTCCTCACTACTAACATCCTCAGTTTAAGCACTGCTCTGGCCCGCGCTATTAAACTTAATTGAGTTGCACTCAGTCCCATGTGGACTGCACTGGCAATGTGCAAAGAACACTGCAGGGTGCTTGGATTCCCACATATGCTACCTTTCTTCAGTGGACTCTAGATTTCTTCATCCTACTGCTGTCCTTTGCACCTATAACTTTTTTCTGCATTTGCCACCTTTCCGCTGCTGGAGTCATTAATTCAACTCTCTTTCTTGGAGGTGACAGCTGAGCTGAGTTTCTGGTTAAATTATGCAACCTTTCCATTTAAAAGTTCCTTTGCTTGGGTTTTTGTGTGTGCCTTATTTCTAAATTGCATAAAATAGAGTCAAACCCAAAACTCCCTCAAAAGGGACCCCTGATTGCATAATCTGAATTCTCTCTGTTCTGTCGCTTATCACATGGTGCTGGAAGGGTCACATGGAGAGGTGGAGAGTTAGCTGTACAGAGCTTTGGAGGAGCTGCCATACCGTTCCTGTAAACTGAATGTGTATTTCTGATGGCGTTTGTAACGGAGCAACAAATCCAGAAGGTAAGCCAGCAGATTCAAGAACTGCATCTGGGGAGACAAGCTTGTGTGCCTTAAACAGGTAACAGTGCTGAGTTTGTCAAGGGAACCAGTCTAATTGCTTAACCAGTACTTGTGTTTAGCACTGGTTTATTTATGAAGCACATTATAGTCTGTTCACTTTCTGGTACTTTATGCACCACTGTAACACCTGAACATCTTACTGGGGCTCCAGAAAGGTAGTTTGTTCTATTGACTTTCTGTCTCAAAGCTTGCTCTCTCCCTTCTGCCTGTCTCTTTCCTTGTGGCTCAAATCTCCTCTTAGAGGATAATCTCCTGAGTTTTCTATAACAGGAAGCAGTTCCAAATGTCTGCTGTCCGAGGAGTTAATTTCATTTTATGAAGGATCAGTCATCCGTGAGAAACTGAATTCTCAGCTCTGAGGGTGCACATTTTCCAATATGTGGATACATTTTGAAGCTCAGTGTGACTGCATTACTCATTTAAGGAGAGTGTGTGTTTAGCAGTTTACTAAGCTGATTCCTTTGGAGATGATTTGAAGTCATGATGACAGTAACAAATGTGTATCCCATCTGTTTCATAGAGTCTGCTGTATTGAATTGGAATTGCTCTCTCCCTAACCACAGGGGCTGTATATCTATTTCTGAATAATTTTTCCCTAAAAGGAAATAGTTTTCTCTTTAAAAGCAAAAATACAGATATTACTGCTTTAGGAAACTAATTAATTAGCTGAAGATAAAAATGTAACTGAATAAAAAGGCTGTTTTTGTGCAGTTAAAGGAAGTGGAAATGTATGTGATATTAACAAATGCACATTGAACATGTCTATGGCTTGAAGAAGTCTACTAAACCATAAACTTTGCTCTTCTAGTTGAGGGGATCTCCAAAGGCAGATATTATTATATCATCTACCATCTAGATGGAGAGCCAAAGGAACAAGCGGAGACTAGGGGGGTATTCCTAACCTAAACGTAACTGCTTTGTGCTGTTTCATAGTTCCATGAAGATGGCTTCCTTGTCTTGGAAGAGTTTTTCACCACAGAAGAATGTGATGCTATGAGGAAGCAGATCCACAAGATCATAGCTGATATGGAAGTACCACCCCACTGTCGCACGGAGTTCTCCACAAAAGAGGAGCAGCAGCTCCAGGCTCAGGTACAGATTTAAGTTGAGGCTGTTCTGATTGAAGAAAGAAGGAAAAATTTAACTTGCAAAATACTCCTTTGAGTAGCAGAGGGCCAACATTTTAAAACTAAATAGTCCAAAACCACAGGTTTGTTCTTGGAGAGTGAATTCTATTTGAGGGCAAGGCTGAAAGGCAGACGTTCCTGAACTGTAATCCTGCTTCTAATAAGTGGGCCTCTGCAGCTGTACACAGCTTCTTGTTGGTCTCAGCAGAGGCCAAGAGAAGGCTGAGACAGGCTGAACTCTGCTTTTAGATGCAAAGTGATCCCCAGTGGAAAAGAAGTGTGAGAGAAACAATAGTACCAATACAGGCTCTATTTGTTCCACAGATACAATGCTGTTAAACCACCACTTAACGCCCTAATAAAAACTCAGAGGATATATTGTTTTTGGGATCTTGAAAACTGCATACTAGAGTTGAGAGATTTAATACAGTGAAAAACCTCAATACATATGACTTTATGTTTGTATTCTGCCTTATTTCTGCTGCTCACTTGGTGGGGAAAAGATGCAGGTAAGTACTAACTTCTTACTAGAAATGTTCACATAGATCCTTGTTAAGACATCATTGCTGGGTCTCTCATCCTTGACAGGGCAGCACGGATTATTTTCTAACCAGTGGAGACAAGATCCGATTCTTCTTTGAGAAAGGAGTTTTTGATAAGAAAGGTAACCTTTTCCTTAATGGCAGCCATACCTGGCTGGTAGGGGTGGGGAAGAAAACGAGCAACTTGCTAGCAAGCTAGGGATTTTGTTACAGAGACAAAAAGTCTGAGTAGAAAGAAAAGCTCTAAACTCTATTGCTTTGTTCTGTTTTTTTTCTGCATACTCTTTAACTCAGGATTTTGTTTCTTAGGTGAATTTCTTGTTCCAAAGGAGAAATCTGTAAACAAGATTGGCCACGGTATGTATGAGTAGTGATATTTTAGACCAAACATAAGGTTGTGTTTTTTTCAAACCAAACCATTGCTTCAAGAGCTGGCTGGAGTGCGTAACCTTAATCCATTTGGATTTGAGTTGTATACAGCAGTTGCCTTGTACACAGTAGCACCCTTCCCTATGCTCTGTTCCTTCTCACCACATTCCTCCCAGCCCATTGAATCCACTAATACAGAGATCTTCCTTTTGGCACTATGGCCATGTGACTCTTTTTTTTTTTGCAGCCTAGTACTCTCTCTCACTTTTGCTTCCTGCAAATTGTTTTTTGCTTCACCTCTAGGTACAGAAAAGTTAATTTTCCCTGATCTGACCCCTGAAAGAGCTCTACAGCTGTGACCGGACACAAATACACAGCTGCTTTAAAAGGGCCCAGTCCTGTGACAATCTGAATTCTTATTGCATGAAGGTTCAGAAGATGATGTTCCAAAACAGACCACTTTCATTAATGTGTGTATGCTGAGGTGGGGAGGGCGGCCTCCAATACACCAGCCCCACCTTTCAGTGCCAGCTGAAAAAATCCTAGATTGACCTCCTTCTCTCCCTCCCTCCCCGCCATTCTGACAGAGCTGGGCCTGGAAGGGGAAAGGAGTGGGGTTAGGCGAGAGCAGCTGCAGGTTAAAGCTGCTTCAAATTGCAGCTGAGTCCTACAACCCTTGGGACCCAACAGTGAACCTCTGTTGGGTATGGGGGAATGCGGTAACTCACAGTGCTTTCTGCAAAGTGCTGTGAGTTATAGCAGGGAGCTGCACTTCTGTCTGCACCTTCTGAGGTTCTTGGCAACTTCTTCCTAAGCCCTCTTTGCAACCTCACTTCCCCCCTTTGCCCCTCCTTCTGTTACCTCTGGTGCTAGGAAATCTCTCCAGTATCAAGACCTCATTTCACAATTAAAAGCCTTTTCAAAAGCCACTTCAGGAGGCATTTAAAGTGTGTGTTGCCTTTTTTTTTTAAAACAATAATTGATGTACAAAAGTTTGAACTTCAGCCAATCTCTTCCTCATATAAGAGGTTTTCTGAACTATACTAGCTGCATCTGGGCTATGTTGTATGCTCCTTAGAGCAGATTGCATCTTCTGTGTTCTATACATCAGTGAGCTCACTGCCATCAGTCGATGAGCTTAATTTTCTCCTGTGGCACTACCAGCAACTTCCCCTTAATCTTATAGGGTTCAAGTGTGATGCGTTTCTCCTGGCCTAGCTACTGAAAATCCAGCTTTATCCCTTGTGTGTTTTCTAACAATACACAGAAAACATGAGAAACCGTTTAGAATTTCTGTTGCACAAGTGAAGGGCCTTTGCCCAGATCTTATTCAGCTGAACTTGAAAATCCAGTCTCTTGCAGCTTCGCTGGGTGGGGAGACAACAATCCTTGTGATCTCTCTCATTCTCTAGTGTGGGGTTACTATCCCTTGAAGGAGCTGTAAACAGATATAGCACCCTGCTGCCTCAGAAGCTTAACAGCAATTCCAAAGACTCATCTTGACATTCTTCTGTAGTTAGTTCACTCACTCTAGTTGGGTTACTTTCTTGCTCTACAGCAGCACCTGCAGGGGATAAATAAGCTCCTCCAGCTGCAAATTCTATCACTGAGAGAAACTGGAATTCAGAATATTTGCATTTGAGTAGCCCCCAAGCTAAATAGTTTAGAACAAACTCAAGTATTCAAAGAGCACCAAGCTTCTGCTCCTAATTCTTAATTTTACAGAAGAGAGAGCCTGGATGCCCCTCTGCAGTGTTCTTTCATCCCCCCCACTCCATGATCCTAAGAACTGTAGTACCTGGAAGGATGCTGTTAGATGGTAGTTGTATCTATGTTAGGATTTTGTATTGTATTCATCACCTTAAAAACAATGGCATCTCAGTATTTGGAGCTCTGTATTGTGCATCCGTTTTTTCACAAACCCCACAAATCTCTTCGAGCTCTCTTTTTGGTTACAGATCTCCATTTTCATATAGCTGCAGTGTGCTGTAAAGGAGATCTGATTACATTTTTGGCCTCTGAAGTAGTTCACAATACAATCTGCAGATGTCAGCAGCACTTATTTGTGTGTAATCTCCATTAAACAAAACTTCTAATCTAATTTACAATTCTCCAGCAAAGCTTAAAGTAAAAGGAATTTGTCTAGCCAAGACATTTAGAAAGAATGATGGGCAACAAATACACTAAACCCATTCTTTAAAGGGATGGAAGCTTCCAACTTGCAGTTTGTGTAGTCTGACTTCAGTCTCCTGCTTCAGAATGTAATAGTCATCACTGTGGCTCTTTATGGCTTGAAAGTTCCCTTCTAGAAATGTGTTATAAACATTTCACTAAATGGCTGGGTTTTTTTTCTTTAGCTTTACATGCATATGATCCCATCTTCAAGCAAATGACTCATTCCTCCAAAGTGCAGGTGAGCCTAAATCAACTGGAGTCGCTCAAAAAAAGTGAACTATGTAATAGTTTAGTTTCAAAACTCTGTGCTTAGAAGGATGGTCCTTCTCCCCTTAAAGGACTGTATACTAACTTATCATTGAAGATTCTGATAGGTAATAGTCAGAAAGCTGCATGATTGCAGTGTATAACTTTGGGTTATTTCACAGGAGTTAGGAAGAAAGTTGAGCCTTGAGAAACCAGTGGTTGTACAGAGCATGTACATCTTCAAGGTACAGTAACTCCAATCTCACATTTACTTAATGACGTTTTTGTAATTTCCTGTTGAACATTCTCCTTTTCACTCTTTTCTCTTTCAGCAACCTGGCATTGGTGGGGAAGGTGAGATTTGTAATATATCCATGCAATGCTCTAGGCAGTATGGACAGGTACCGAGGCTTGTATTCCTGAAGGAGAATTCTAAGTACCACGAGAGACAGCACAGATTGGTCAGTCAGAGTGAGGTTTCAAAACTATATGAGGGTTTTGAAGACCAATTTATGTTAGAAATGAAGGGGATTAGACATACAAATTCTCTAGATGCTTTTGAAAATGCCACATAAGATGCTCTTCTATTTTTCACTAAGGAGTAATTTACTTTCCCGTCAGTTCAAATAGTTGTTTTCAATGTTATGTCCCATACTACATAAGAAACTGGAAAGGAGTGGAGCATCCATCTGAGGTAGGGAAAGGTTAGGTCCCTCCTACATAATACCTATGAATACACTAAATCACTTCCTAAGCTATACAGCTGCAACTCCTCTGCTGAAGCGGCCTATATACAACTAGAGGTTGGTGGTTATAACACCAATAGAATCATAGATAATTAGGGTTGGAAGGGACCTTAGGAGATCATCTAGTCCAACCCCCTGCTCAAAGCAGGACCAGCCCCAACTAAATCATTCCAGCCAGGGCTTTGTCAAGCTGAGCCTTAAAAACCTTCAAGGATGGAGATTCTAGGTAACTTGTTCTAGTGCTTCACCACCCTCCTAGTGAGAATTTTTCCTAATATCCAACCTAAACTTCCCTTGCTACAACTTGGTTGCTATCAAATCCCCTCTGTCTTCTCTTCTCCAAACTAAATAAACCCAGTTCCCTCAGCCTCTCCTTAGAAGTCACGTGCCCTAGGCCCCAAACCATTTCCGTTGCTCACCACTGTACTCTCTCCAACTTGTCCACATCCTTTCTATAGTGGGGGGCCCAAAACTGGACACAGGACTCCAGATGTGGCCTCACCAGTGCAGAATAATTACTTCCCTCGATCTGCTGGGAACGCTCCTACTAATGAAGCTCAGTATGCTGTTAGCCTTCTTGGCAACAAGGGCACACTGCTGACTCATATCCAGCTTCTTGTCCACTATAACCCCCAGGTCCTTTTCTGCAGAGCTGCTGCTTAGCCAGTTAGTCCCAAGGCTGTAGAGGTGCATGAGATTCTTCTGTCTTAAGTGCAAGACTTTGCACTTGTCCCTGTTGAACTTCATGAGATTTCTTTTAGCCCAATCCTCCAATTTGTCTAGGTCACTCTGAATCCTAGCCCTACCTACACTCCAGTGCATCTTCTACTCCCCGCAGCTTGGTGTCATCTGTGAACTTGCTGAGGGTGTACTCCATCCCATTTTCCAGATTGTTAATGAAGATATTGAACAATGCAGCCAGTGAATTTCTGCATCCTTCTTACTTGACTGAAGTGGAAGTCATATCTCTCAGAAACCTGACTAGTTGCTGTTCTAGCAAAAATCAAGCTGTTGCCAGTAGACAGATCAGATCAAAAGAAAGCAGGCAGGAAAGCCTATAATTTTTTTTGTTAGGCTTTTAACATCAGTATTTTAAGTGTAAGGTAACCAACCAGCTGTTTGTTGGTTTCAGTGACACCGCACCAGGATGCCACATTCCTGTACACAGAACCCTTGGGCAGGGTGTTGGGCCTCTGGATTGCTCTGGAGGATGCCACACAAGAGAATGGGTGCTTATGGTTCATCCCTGGTTCTCACACCGGTAGGTTATCCTGTTGAATGTCCTGAGATGCATGTTCATATCCTAGCTGCAAATGAAATGAACCTAGATTGTAGTGTGTCCTCTGAGTCCTAAAACATTTACATGCCTACCTCCTAGCTAACAACATATACCATCATACTTTAGAGGAATTTTGTCCAAAGTAAGATTATTCCAACTATGCTTTTGAGCTAAATCTATTTCTTAATTTCTTTTGGCTCATGTTTACTGGTTCAGGGGGTTGTGATTTTAATACAAAAACATTTCTGGAATACAAATGTAGTATTATTTCTGACTCTAGTAGTAAAACTTATGCTATACCTCTACAGTGGACCTAAAAGTAGTGAGAGAGTGATAACCACAAGCTTATGGAGTCTTTACCTCAGGGTTTGAATCCAGGTCTTGTAATACTGGGCTCCTCTGCAAATGCTCTTTAAATCTGTCTACCTTAGCATTATTGCAGTTACTTCCTTTTGCCAGATTCAAACCCTTCCTTGTCCAGTCTGCTGCTGCTTGTCCTCTCTCAAAGAGCTTCTTACCGCAGCCTTGAAAATGCTCCTGATGCCTGACCTGGGATAGAAGGAACAGCTTCTCCATGTTGCTTCAGGTTTAGGAATACACATAGTGAAACCACTTGAACCATGTTATTTCTTTTATAAAGCCTTAATACTGTAGTACGTTAAAACATGTGTTAATCCTGCCCTTAATACAGACCCATTCAGAGACCATACCAATTAATTCTTTGTTTTACCAAACCAGAACCAAGAACATTGGTAATTCTTCAGCTTGCTCTGTGTCAGATGAGGAAATAAAAATAGCCTCCCCCAACACTGGTCTCAGATTCAATCATCAAACCTATGAAAAGATGACTTAGTATCTGAGCAATCACAGAATAGCTAGCAGCCCACAGGAACAGAGAACAAGCCAAATCAAAATGAAAAGGCAAACATTCTCTCTTGCCTGCTGAAAACTGCTGTAGATTTCTAAATTTGCATATATTTGGCATTGACTCTCTTCTACATTTTTCTTGTGAGAGGATTCACTGTCTCCAGGGCTACAATCTACCTTTCTGGAGTCAAACATGAATGTCTAATACTTGTGGGTGTAGTCCCCTCCGCCCTCTTAAAGTCAAGACAGGTAGACATCCCTGAGAACTTCTTAATTCAATTGCGTTTTGGTGTCATTATACCTGGTGTATGAACACAGCAGCTGCAGATGAACTTTTGTGCCATTAGAGAGAAAAGAAATGGACCAAAGGTTGTGTTTTAAGCATGTTTAGAGAGCACTGCATATTTCTGCAAGGGACCAAGTGCTAAGACACAGTCCAGAAAGCAAACAAAAGCCAGATGCATCCACTTCTACAGCAGGGCAACTTTAACTCAGTGATTCTCAACAAGGGTGTTGCCATGTTCTTAGAAGGGTGCCTTGCAGTGTGAGAAGATAAGGAGATAAATTAAGTAGATAAATACAGGCTCAGCCTTGTCCTTGAGGAAATGGTTTCTTTCCTGCCCCTCCCCTCCCACTGCCCAGCTCCTCTACAAGGAAATAAGCACTATAATAAATAAATACATTTTTGCAGCTGTGCGCCACCCAAATCACAGATGTTATGAAGTAGTGCCTTGAGTCCAAAAAGGTTGAGAACCACTGCTTTCACAGTATATCTAATGGAAAGAAACCATTTTGTGCAAAGTTGTTATTACATCATGAAAATGTCCATCCAACTATAAAGACAGCCAACAAGCTATGTATTTAGTGGCTGAAAACATGAAACAACTTTGTAGCTGGTTTCTGTCCAGCTTTAATTTGAATGTGTGGCAGGGCCCTTAGTGACAGTGAAGGGTAACTGTAATGTAATATAGTGGTTTTAAGTTTCCAATGAGTGCAAAGGCCACAACTGCAGGTTTGTTTATTCCCTGGTGAAATGCCTCTTTCCAACGCATGATTTTGTCAATTTTGTGAATGACAGGTGGTGTCACACGGCGAATGGTACGAGCCCCACCAGGCTCTATACCATGTGTACAGTTCCTCGGTTCTGAGCAGCCTTATGAAGACAGCCAGTTTATTCCTGTGCCCATCAGCAAAGGTAAAGATTCAGCCATATGACCAAGGAAACTGCAAGAGAAAGAGAGATGTAGTGACACAGTTTTAAGCTACATACAGAGGGAATTCAATATGTTGCCAATGAAGACCTAAGAGTGTTGAGCCTATCCTGAAAGGACTTACTCCCATAGAACCAAAGCAATAAACTTCTAGTCTTCTCAAGCAAATCCTTCCTATAGGGATCCAAAAGCTAGATTACTAAGCCAGTAACAGTAAATCTTTCAAAGATGTCACCAACTCTTCCTGTATGACACAGATGAGGGAGATATTAAAGAGAAAAAGAAACAAGTGTCTTCTTTCAAACAGGTGGGCTGATTCTCATCCATGGAGAAGTTGTTCATAGGAGTGAGCTGAACAGCTCCGATTCATCCCGCCATGTATACACCTTTCATCTGATGGAGGCCAAGGACACCATCTGGAGTAGAGAGAACTGGTATAAAGGAAATCTCCAGTAATAAGTAGCTATGGGAAATGGAACCTTTCTAGTACTGTAGCCATTCAAGAAGCATTTTTTAGCTAAAACCCCAGTTCTTAGCACCTCATGTATGTGTTGTACCTTCTGCAGACACCCAGGCTTTTCTTACATAACGCAGAAATGTATTAGCTCCAATTTTGTTAAAAAGACTGGAAGTTTCTAGCAGTTTCCTGGGATGGTCTCCCTGGCCTATAAAGCCAAGGAGTTTTCCCTTGTTAGACATAAAATGCCACCATAAGGTGCTCTAGTCAAGGAGCAGCAGAGTGCCTTGTAGCCATTAAACAAACTTGTATCATCCCTCCAGGGAAAATAAGTGTTATCTCCATTCTGATTTTGGAATTCCCTGCTGTCACAAATAGGATTGGCCTCATTCCAGCCATCTAATAATGAGGATATACATCATCTATAAAATCTATGTATTTCAAAGTCTTATGTAGTGATGGTAGTGGAGCTAGGAACAGAACTCGGGTATTAGTCCTATGTTTCAATCACATTACTTGTTTCCCCTCTAAAATTATTGCTCCACTACTTATGGGTGTGAAACATGCACTAGAAGTATAATTAGACAAGAAGAAAATAATTAAGGGCATTGGGAAATATGTAATTACTTCTTAAGGAATACACTTGGAAATGCAAGACTGAAGTTTCTACAATATATAGTAAGTTTTCTTCTCATTAACAAGGAATTGGCTTTATAAAATTGCTTCCAAGGTACTTTCCCTTCATAATTATTAGTTTCTGTATCAGTGGTACTCAAGTTAGCACTGATCCCACCGCAAGTTGCCTTGGGATGGACTCTGCAATTCTATTTTTCCTGTTTTTTCTCCTCTTGTTTCAGGCTCCAGCCAACTCCTGAGCTGCCTTTTCCATCTCTTTACCTCTGAAGCTAAGGAGTATTGTTTTCCTGACTGCCTTGACACTGCAAACAAAAGCATGCTGTGTTGATATCTACAGATGGGAAACTTAGATCTGTGTCACACAGGAGTCAAATAGTTAATTGGAAATAGTCCTCTCTCTCAGATTACCTGTGCCTGTTCTCTTCAATTTTCCTTTGAGAAATGAGACAATGTTTGTTTGCCTCCTGTCCAGGAATGAGTTCAGCCATTATGCACTTCAGGAGGATTTTCACCCAGAGCTGGCCAATGCTGGTATTATTCAGCACATGGTCTGTTATAGTGGGCACATCTACACATGCATTAATGTGCCATAATTGGAACAAATGTGCAGTAGCTCCAGCACACATCTTTCAGATGATGCTAATGTACAGTAGACTAATTCTACTGTCCAGTAGCACAGCTTTCACTGTGACGTGCTAATGTGCAGTAGAATTAGTCTACTGTGCTTCTAGTGTCTCATGTAGACATGTCTGGCATGTCCCTATCAACTCTAAGAACAGTCATTTAAGCCCTTGTTGATGGGGAATATTTCCCTGGTCATGTGAACAAATCATTGCAAGACCACTTTACTTCAACTGAGACCTGCTGCACTTTTTTTTTTAGGAGACTTAAAGTCTCACCATTTTCCTCTTGTACAAGCCAAGCCAAGAAAATTTCAGTTTTAGTTAGGCCACCTTCATCATGTTCTTCACAGCCATCTAGTATAACAGGAATAGAAATTATAGGATATGGTTGTCTTCTAAAGAGAAGAAGCTTGGCTTACTTCAACGCTAATATTTAAAAAAAAATCTTATGGTGAGATGAGCAAGAGGGGAGCCTAGAGTCCTTATTTTCTTTTCAAATCCTTAGTTTAAGTTGATCAAAAAAGGTAAGATCTCTAGATTCATTATTGCCTTCAGTGTGTACATTTCCAAGAACAGAGCAATGTTGGGTCAGACAGGAATGTTGAAATTAAGTGTGGATTATCCAAGAGGATTACCTTTTTTCCCCCCAAACAATACAAAACTTGTGACTAAGCATAATATAACCACAAGTTCTCCATCCTGTTTTCTCTGAAAAGGATAATATACCAAACCACCTCAGCTTTTTAATTCAAAACATATAATGGCAGAGTTCCACAACAATTATGCTATTAAAATTTTAATAGGCAAGATAAATACTAGCAAAGAGCTTATTGCAACAATTATTGAACTTTCTAGGATACAAAGAGCTTATTCCAACAATTATTGAACTTTCTAGGATACATCAGTAAAGCAGTCCTTGTAACTGAATATTCTAAATAAGCCTATTTAAAACAATGGGACAGAGAATGTTTATGCTTAACCCTTCATTAGACCTACCACTGATCCAGCTAAGCTGCAATTTCTTTCAATAAATCTGATTACCAAATAAAGAGAGACAACACTTTTAATAGGTTTAAGAATATATTTTTCTTGTAACAAATGAATGCAGAATGCAATTAATTATTCTTAATAAATACAGAGTGAATAGCTGCTCTTCGAAGGATCCAAACATAAGATTGGAAATATGTTGCATAAATCTTCACATTTGTGCTACGTACCTGGTGCCTCCAAAACAACCAAGGCCCCAGGCTAATTACAGGGATTTTCAAGTAATTTACCTCAAAGTTATGCATCCCTGTGATAGGGCAGAACATACTATGCCTTCCCACCAGAGATCACAGGGTGCTTTACAAACACTAAATAATGAATCTCCACAACACTCCAAAATGTCACATCTTAATACTAGGTGGGTAACCGAGGCAGAATTACGGGGGTTAGGGGGGGAAGCAAAGGGTCTCAGACTGTAGAGCTTATATTCACAAATGTGGAGCACTTATCCTTAGGAAGAGTCCCTTTGGCCTGAGTAAGTACACACTAACATAAGCATTAACCAACCCTAAATGACACAGGTCACACAGCAGAGTTGGGCACAAGTCCTGTTCCCACACCCTAACCCCAAGATGACAATACTCTCACCCATCTAACATCCTTTGATGATTCAATATCAGGTTTATATATATAAAACTGTACTGTTTATCCAGGAGAAAGTACAAGCAGCATGCAGACTAGGGAAGAAAATGGCATTTGAAAGTGAATAAGACTAGTGTCAATACTTTAAGATGAAGTAGTAGGGACTTTAGAAAGTTGCATGCAATTACATATAAGAATAGGAGGAAAGGTTGAAAAGCAGTTGTATAGTTGATTAATAATTAGTTTCTAAGACTGAACTTTGTATTAACAGAAAATTGCAAGAACACATATTGTGGAGTAGTTTAATCATTCAACCTCAAGGGTTTTGTAACTAAAACTAATGCACGGTGCCCACCAACAGCCTCAGCGTTTAAGATTTGTCACGTGCAGAAGTGAATTTTAAACCTTGAAAATAAAACCAGACTTTTTGCTTGACATTTAAAGATGCAAATGCTTCTCACCACAAATACACGTAAAGCAGTATTAGGAAGAGAGACAAATGCCTACAATGTGTAAGGTACCACAGCTGGTGACGGCCATCTTTCTCCAAAAAAAAATGTAAATGGGAGATGGATGGAAAAAAATCTTTTTTTTAAATGCACTGGGTGTAACATCATAGAACAGACCTTTAGGCAGCTTCTAAAATGTCTTAAACATAGAATAATTTATTAACAGAATTAAAAAGTTTCCCCAGCATTTGGACAGAGGCTCAATGAAAACAAGATCATCTGGATGGTTTATGCTGCTGCATGAAGAATGCAACATAGGAGCCAAAATATCTTATCTTTTCCAATTTTCTGTCAGATGCAAACAGGTTAGAAATGGACTTTTGTGAAGCAAGGCTCCAATTCTTGCAGCCACATCGGTGTTTTTAAGCCTGCTTCTGTCACAGTCAATTGCAATAAACAAATAGTCCAGTGAAATTCTTGAGTTGATTTCTCGCAAGAATTTGTTCTAATCTGGGTATGCTTTGCCGGGTGGCCAAAACAGATTTTGTATGGTAATCAGAATTCCACAAATTCTACACAGCAATTTTGAGTCACAAATTGTATTGACAGGACCCAGAATACCTAGCAAGGGTAATAGTGATCAAGTAGTTTTGCTCAAATTCACAAATAATTTTATTAGCAATTAGAGCTTCCTCTGCTGTTCTTATGTTTTAAGATGCTTGGATGGCAAGAAGATAGGGAAAAGCAGCTTTCAATTCTGTTGTTTAATTTTCTGGCTTAAGTTGTACATCAAACCATCACATTGAACATGGCCTCTGGGATAAAACAGTTAAGGCTTTTTTTTGGTTACTGGGGGAAATAAGCTTTTTTGTTGATGTTTATTAGCATTAAAAAAGTACCATTTTTCTTCTAAAACATGGTAGCTTGTCTAGCTTTTCAACAAGCTGCACTAATCAGTGCAATTTAAAAACAATGCCAGTGTATAAGTAGCAAGAGTCCCACTCAGTCTCACAACTGGAAGACAGATTGATCAGAAGCACCACAAATGGGATTTACTGCTGCCACATGGGGCTGTGCTCTTGCACCATTCCTCTGTCCAGAGCTTAGTTTCCTTGGAGCAGTGCCTGACACCCTCCTGCAATATTAGCCGAGACATTTTTTGACTGTTCCTAAAAGCCTGGGACAAATTCTTTGTCATGTGTAATGAGAAGACATTTCCTAGAAAGGAGAAGAGTAGTGAACACTGATGATTCTAAACCAGTCCAGCTCTAGCTTATTTTAGGGGCCAAAACAATCCAAACTTATGTTCTGGAGTATGATTCTGCAGCTCAGAATAATTAGAGCACTGTGCTGAAGCCAAGCTCTTTGCTAACATGGAGACACTTCTATGCTTAAGACTGCACCAGAGAATAGTGTAAGACTAATTGTCTTGGTTTTATGTTGCTCCCATGTTAATATTTTTTCTTTATGGATCATTGTGCTCTCTCTAAGTTACAGGGATATAGGAAGCCAGAATCAAGCTCAGTCTCAAATCTCCTCAGATAAGAATCTTTGCAAGAAAATACCTTGCTCAGACATTCTTCCAGAGGGTGGAATACAAATTAACTTTTTTTGTTCCTAATGGATGTTTTGCTTGTTAATAAGAAGATTCCCATAAGTAAAAACATGTCAGAGGATTAAATGTACAGAAACAAGAATGGTGCTTTTACCATAAAAGGGGTATTTTTAGTTATTCACAATTATGATTCTAATTAAAAAGGGACCAAAGCAGATGGCTTTGCTCCAAAATTTAAATTTGAATAATTGCTTTCAATTTTTTTAAAATTAAAAACAGTCTGTTTGAATTTAAATATTCCCTTAGTGACTGGCAAACTAAACACTACAGCACTGTGCAAGTGTGTGAGAACCAGGAAGTGACTGAGCATAAACAACCATGAAACAGACTTCATAAATCTTAGTTTAAACAAAGAAATTCAGGAAGCAAGCAAACCTGGATGAGTAGACAAAGGTACAGTGGATTTTGAAGATATTTTTAGCTTCAATAATCTGTTACTAGTAAAATAGAAAAGGATTTGTCAATGAGTTGTAATTTAGCTTTTCTTTAAACTGTCTCTACAGCTGTGTGAAATGGGCCTCTTTTCAAAATAAATTCTTAAGTACTTTCAGGAGATCAAGATCATGAAAAAGGTAAAATGTGATTTATTTCAGAGACTGTTGGCAAAGAAGTAAAAACATGTTAACCCTGGAGGTTTGTGTAGTGAAAACAGTTGCTCATCTTATCTTAGCAAGTCAAGTTTGTATTATCAGTATCTGCAGTTACTTAATGCCTAACAAGCATTAGTGTTGTTTTCACAGCCATTGTCTAATTTTCCACACAGTGGGATGCTGTGGCACTCTCACCCCATACTGCAGAAGAGTATGCTTTAAGTGGCTCTTTTGTAAAAATAAATAGGATTCACACAATACACAAAACAGCAGGACTCAACTCACTGGCAAGTTGGCAAAGCGCACACACTTTGAAAAGAGACAACTGAGGTACTGCTTAGGTAACAAAACCAAATGTCTAGTGACTCCAGCTTTTCCATTCTAGTGAACGTAGCTCTCTCTTTCCCACCCACTTTGCTTTAGCATGCCCAGAAGAAGTCTGAAAATAGACCCTTTGGACATTTGTACACGCCATGTTTTTTCCCCATTCTTGTGCTGCAACAGCATGGTTGTTTGCACAAGCGGGTTTTTCAGAAACTTTAAAAGGCTCTGGTGTATTAAAGTAAAACTTAGTTGTAGTTTAGTTTGGCTCGCTGTGAATTAAAGTGCTGTGTCTGAGTGCCTTTGTGTTTGCACGCAACGAATCCACGAAGACATGTAATGAGTTTCTTTGTCCACCACATGGTGCTGCAACTTTTTGTAGTTCACCCCTTTGAATCGCTGCTGTTTATTTTTTCCTTGTGCCATGTGCCAGCTCCCTGTTTCCACAGCTGCGTGGCAGGGCACGAGGAGCAGTGTGGCACCATCCCGCTCTCCTGCAGCACCAGCTAGGGACTGGACTTAATTAGTTTGAAAACCTAGTACATGCAAACACTGATGCAACACTCCAAAATAAACCAGTTTAAATTTTATAAAAATATTTAATTTAATAAGGATTAAAGCCTGTGGCATGTACAGGTGCCCTTTGTGATTTAGTATCTAAATTGTCACCCACAATTTGAATCAGAGTATCAGGTAGATGGTTTCCTGTTATTCGTATGGAAAGATGTAGCAACTGGTGCTGCTTTAGTTATTAAAAGTAAAAGAAGGACCAAGAGAAACCTTTACCTTTATTTTTAATTGACATTAGAAGAGTTAATTAATTTCTGTCTTCAGCCATTTTATCTATTGTACCAAATATAGT